CCTGGAGTAGTCCTGCCATTTTCTTGGCAAGATTTCATAAGTGGCTTGCCACTATCTGCTGCTTAGGACTGAGAGAGAGTGACAGAGCCAAGGTCACTCAGCTGGCTTAGTGCCTAGGGTGGCACTAGAACTCACGGTCTCCCAGTTTCTAGCTCACCCTCTTAACTTCTACATCCAGGTGGCTCTTATATACATAGTTAGGATATCTAAAGTGCCTCCTTCAGCAATTTGCATTCTTCATCAAAGGACCTGTGATTTATCCCCTCACACAAAAAATATAAGTTGATTTGTGTGAGAGAGACTACTTGTTGTGTGTTGTGTGTCTTGTTACTTCTTTCTCTATTTTGTAGCAGGTGCTAGGTGGAAAGCCTTGTGCAGGAGGTTGGGTTGGCACCAGTTGACTGAATGTTTAATAGGCAATAGAATCTGCAATATTTTGCTCTGCTGTTTATGGCATTAGTCTTGCTTTCACACTGGTTACAAAGAAGGTTCCACGCCTTTTGTTATTTTTCTTCAAAGATGTTATTCTATTACCGTAAACTTGTTTTAAACCACATGCATATTGCTGTGGAGTTTTGATAAGTAGAAAAACATTTTGAACATATTCTATAACATCCTACTTCCACATGGAACTCTCTAGATGTGTTGGGCTACCTAATCTCATAATTCCAATTAGCACAGCCTTTGGTATTTTTCCCATCTCCATTTTGGTTCATATTTTGCATTTTTTGTATTATATACATCATTTGTTCCAGCTGTATATTTTCAAGAAGAGTTTTGCAATATTTGTGCAGCAGCCTGTTGAACAGAGGGGAGGGGGAAAGAACCTTACTGGTGGAGTAGAACAGCATGCTATGGCTTCTCCTGAATGTCATAAAAGTCACTGAGAACTTATATATCTTTTGGCACAGCTGGGCATGAAGATATAAACACTGCCTCCCGCACTATCACTTTTAAATATGCTCTTACCTACTTTATTCCCAAGTCAGCAAAATTCTTTTATGACTTCATCAATGACAACTTCACAAGATTTAAAAAGGCTGGGTAAGATCCAGCCTAGGAGCAGGGGATAATGTGCCACATTCAGGAGGCCTAAAGTTGGATTTCTGGCCTGAACATGTCTCTTTGTGGGGGCTGATTTTTTAAAATTATTATTATAGAACAGGCAAAAGCAGAATGTCAACAGCATCATCTTAATCTGAGATGGAGGACCCTTTGATACCAAGTAGGTACTATCATTGCCTTTCTATTTAAGCATGCCCCATAGATGTAACACATGGAAATGCCCCTGAGGTAAAATGAAGAGGACCTAGCACAACTGACAAAAATAAATACCAAAGTGAATATTTTAATCCAGCAGGTCATTAAGCTAGTATTCCTGGCTCCGTTCCTCTTCTTTCTTCCCAGCAGCAGCCCTGCTATATCTCATCTTCCTGGAAGGACAGGTTTCCCTGGGGGATGGAAGCCCTGTTTTCTCTCACAGAAGCGTCTGCTGTAAAATACAAGTCTATTTGGGCAAAACATTTCAGCCCTGTTCTTTGCTGTAAAAGCTTTCCGAGTGGTTTTCCAGAATGAATTAAAAATAATAATAATCCTCGCTTTGAAATTTGTAACCTGAGAGATGCAAAAAGAGAAAAGAAAAAGAAGCGTGAGAGAGGATGAAAACAGTAAATCTGGACCCAGCAACTGATACAAAATCCTAATAAAACTACTGGGGCAGGAACAGCCCAGGTAGAGGAGAAGCTCACAGCATTGGCCCCTCAGCAATGCCGACACTATGGCCTTGCCTCCTAGATCTCTCTCTCTCTCCCTCTCTGCTCTGCAGCCTGATGAAAGGCCACAGCAGGTCACTTGGTGGTCAGATAATCCTTGGCTCCCACAGATGGAGTTAGTTGGTATGATGCAGTAGCTAGAGGGCTAGGTTGGAATTGGGAAGACCACCCCAGCTGCCATTGACAATATGGCATTTTTCACTATACCGTAGAACAGGGCCCCCCAAACTTGGCAACTTTAAGACTTGTGGACTTCAACTCCCAGAATTCTCCAGCCAGCATAGTTGTCAAGTTTGGAGACTTCTGCCATAGAACGTCTTCTACCTCCATATGATTCCCTTTCCCTCTTGGCATCAACAGTTACAGACGCTGCTGCTTCAACCATCAGAACAGAACAGAATAACAGAGTTGGAAGGGATCTTGGAGATCTTCAGCCCAACCCCTTGCTCAAGCAGGAATCCCTATCTCATTTCAGACTAATGGCTGCCCAACTCCTTCTTAAAAGCCTCCAGTGATGGAGCACCTACACTGCTCTCCTCTGCTCTTACGTTGGGAAATTTCTCCTTAGTTCTAGGTTCCTTCTCTCCCTGATTAGTCTCCATCCATTACTTCCCATTCCTCTTCTCCTCTTCCACTTCCTCTTCTCCATGACAGTTCCTCAAGCATTGGATAGCACTGCTATCACATCACCCCCAGTCCTCTTCATTAGACCAGACATACCCAATTCCTGAAATCATTCTTCATATCCTAGCCTTCCAATTATGTGATGACCCGGGTGTGACACAAAGGCAACACAGTCAGATAATCAGTAGGAGACCCTTTATTAGCTCCAACTTTGCCCCCAATGTCTTGGTTACCTTCTGACTGGAGAAAACTCTCCAAGGAACAGCCTTTGACTGGGGTGAATCAAGTCCAAAACGTGGTCAACAAAAACTGTAACTATAAGTCCAATCAAGGCAAAATGAGGTAATTAGTCCAGCAGAGCAAGAGCAAGAATTCCAGATGTGAAGGCACAGCAATAACTCAACACAGTTGGGAAGATGCCAGGAACATAGATAACCAAAGTCAACACAAGATAAACTCACGTTTGCTCCCAGCAGCTGCTGCACTCAGCATGCATTTCTTTTAAACTCTGTTCCTAGCTGTGGCTAATGAAGGGAATTAGGTCCCATTCCTCCCCCATAAGCCACGCATCCCATGTTGCTCTCTTCTTCTCCATTCCTCCCTGTGTGGCCTAGGATGAAGAGAGGGTGGGCCTGGATCTTCCTCTGAACTCCCTCTCCCTTGTTCTCCCTTGCTCTGCCCAGCTGGACTTTGCCCTTGCCCAGTTTTCTCCATAGCCATTGGAGCCACACTCCCACTCTCTGTCAGCTTTTTGTCTTCCTCCTTGGATTCAGACTCTGACAGGGGAATGACAAATTATCTCCGTTGCTCCATCAACAGCAGAGCTCCGTGTATTTCAGTGTTACCGGAGAGTTCTCTAACCATTTTTATTTGGAGTTAATACAACGTCTTGATTTGAGCAAGAACACACTAAGGACAAAGTATATTGGACCTGAAATGAATCTTTGCACTGTATCTATTTATGTGCATATGATTGTGGTTTGAAATTGAGGATAGTGGCTGATGAACATAGGCATAGATGGGAGGGATTTAATTTGGTCGAAACTGATTTAAATCCATTTTATCATTGAGATTCCACGTTTCCACCAAGCCATCTACAAGGCACTGCAACCAAGTGTTTACAGGTAGTCCTCAACTTACAACAGTTCATGTAGTGACCATTCAAAGTTACAACGGCACTGAAAAAAGTGACTTATGACCATTTTTCACACTTAACAACCTTTGTAGCATTCCCATGGTCACATGATCAAAATTCAGACACTTGTCAGCTGACTCATTTATGATGGTTGCAGTGTCCAGGGGCCATGTGATCACCTTTGGCAATCCTGACAAGCAAAGTCAATGGGGAAGCCAGATTCATTTAAGAAGATTTCTAACTTAACAACTGCAGTGATTCACTTAATTGTTTCAAGGAAGGTCGTAAAATGGAGCAAAACTCACTTAGCAACAGATATGTCGGGCTCAGTTGTGGTTGTATGTCAAGGGTTACCTGTACTATGTTTTGTTTTTTCAGTGTCATCTGCTGTAAATTTTTCCTTCTCATTCTTGATATCAAATCCATTTAAACATTATATTGGAATAAGAATTTGAAAAATGAGAGAGGAAATATGAGTATTTAAGGGCAAAGGGTAAGCAAAAATGGACCTCATTTATCTAGCCAAATTATCATTTTAATATATCTGTGTTGACCCATTATTTTTTGTTGCCCTCTCTTACAGTTTAAAACATGTATGATACTTATGTCATTTTTCACTACTTTTCCATTCTTTGGCATTTCACCTGTCTTTCTTTCATTTCCAGTCCTCCGTGATGGGATTCAAATTTTTTTTACTACCGGTTCTATGGGTGTGGTTTGGTGGGTGTGGCAGGGGAAGGATACTGTAAACTGTCCAGTCAGGTGGTATTTGCCGGTTCTCCGAACTACTCAAAATTTCCACTACCGGTTCTCCAGAACTGGTCAGAACCTCCTGAATACCACCTCTGTCCGTGATGCTTTCTATTTGGATTAGAGTTGTACAAATCTCTTGGCTAAACAGTCTGATTAATCAATATGTTAAACCTTAAAATGTTGTGTTTGGTTTTGGGTGTATATGTTGTATGAGCCCAAACGCTGTTATTCTGTATCCCGCAGAGAGGATAAAACAGAGAGGATGAACTGCATACAGACTGGCAATGCATTAAATTATATTTTGCTTCTAAATGTAAATTAAATATTTGGCTATGGAGCGGGCATATATGAGTGTTAGTGCTTCCTTAACTTAAAACATACACATTTTTCTAGGGTTGTGTACCTACTTTGGGAGCCCAGAAAAAAAAATGCTATTTCTAGGAAGGTACTGATACCTGTAGGGACTGCTCAGAAGTCCTTTTGAGTTTTTAAGATCTGAAGTGCAGCTCATTTCTAAATTTAAACCAAAAGCAGATAGTCCTTCTATTTTCTAATTGTTGCCGGTTGCCTCCAGTTTTTATTTTATACCTTAGCTAGCGATTTTAGGCTCTGGACACATTTTGGCTATCTATTGCAACGATATACATAATGTATCCATCAAGATCTGGCTTTGGTAAGATTAATGGCATTATCTCTGTGTGTTTATTTCCTTGCAGAGTTCCTGCTGGGGACTGTGTGGAAGGATGGCAGCTGCAGAACCTTTGACTGCTTTCTCCCGTTGGTACCTATATGCCATTCATGGCTACTTCTGCGAGGTGATGTTCACAGCTGCTTGGGAGTTTGTGGTCAACTTCAACTGGAAGTTCCCAGGTGTCACCAGTGTATGGGCACTCTTCATCTATGGGACATCCATCCTCATTGTAGAAAAGATGTATCTGTACCTGAAGGATAAGTGTAACATACTAGTGCGCTGCCTGATTTACACCCTATGGACGTATCTTTGGGAGTTCACAACTGGCTTCATTCTGCACCAGTTTAATGCCTGCCCATGGGACTATTCGCAGTTTGACTTGAACTTCATGGGCCTCATAACCCTGGAGTATGCCATCCCATGGTTCTGTGCAGCATTTATCATGGAACAGCTAGTCATCAGGAACACCCTGCGTTTGCGTTTTGATGAGAATGCTGAACCAGGTGAACCCACATCTGTTGCAACCTTGGCCAATGGTCATGTGAAAACTAACTGAATTGTACTTTAGACTACACTAAGACTAAGCAATCTCTCCCGCCCCTTCATTACAGACTTGGGATGATGGCCTCAACAGCAAAACTCCTGTTTCCTTTATGATAAACAAACCTCCTTGGTTTGGAGGTGTGCATGAAAAAGTGGAATCAGTAGGTTTTCTATGAATTTTATGCTCTTTCTCTCTCTTGGTTCCTTTTTTTAAAACAAAACTTCAAGTATCATTGTCAACTACCTGTTGACTAGATAGTTTGACTTATAACTTACTCAGAAAACAGTTCTGTGATCAGTACTTTATTATATCTGGGTTAGAAAAAACAAAAGGTTGGCTCAAACTGTTCAAATAACATTAGTATATAGGCACAGATTTGCCCAGTTGACTTAGTGATTGGCTTATATTCCATTCAGGTGCTTGCTTGAAACCAATACCTCCCATGGGACCTGAGATGCTGCAGATTCTATGAAAAACCATTTCCTGTTGAAACAGCCCAACAAAGTGGCAGACTACTGTGGAAATAGAACTTGCTCTGTTGTGTGCTTTCCTTAAGGCTTTTTTTAAGTTGCACCACAGTGTATAGTATTACGGTGCTGGACATCCTGCTGAATTTCTATAAAAATATTACTTTTTGAAACATCCATTCTGACACTCACAGAGAGTTTGTTTCCCACTCTCGTGTACCTATTTTTTAAATAAAGAACTATTTCGCTGGATAAAGTCAATCATTGCTGTGCAACCTGCATTATAGATATGTAGGCAAAAGGAGGAGAAAAATGGCCAAGTCATCCCTACCTCCTCCTCTCACACTTTCTGGTGGAACTCAATAGGAAGGCCCCTTCAGAGCTGATTCTTGCTAACTTTCATTGTGACTGTTTACACATCATCTAAATCTTCTCTGGCTTCCTTCGTGGGGAATTTTCTAGTCTCAAAAATCCAAGTGTCTATAAATATGGACTACTGACATCACATTGAAATCTTTGTTTGATGCCTGGATTCATTGGGAGTTGAAATCCTGCAGGACAGACTTTTGAAAGACCTGTGGTCAATCTTTTTTGTATTGATCTTCTCAGCGCTGGTGTTCCCAAATGTACAAATGGCAGAATTAGTAGTGTGGCAGTATCTCTTCATAAAGCTATTTATGAGCAACTGTTGATGGCATCTCTCTGTAGGAACTTTGAAGGATCATCCTTTAAGATGGTCCAAGTAAGTGGAAAATAATACAAAAGGGCTGCAGATATTCTAAAGTCTGAGACCAAAGTGAATGTCCCAAAAGAAATATGTGCTATGCAGGGGCAGTTAAAGAAGAAATAGCAACGAACAAGAAGGGATTCTTTCTGCAGCCATCAAAAGAATCTCTTCTTTAGGTTCATAGAATGAAAGAGAAATGAAAAAAGGAAAGGGAGTCACTTGAACTAAATACATCCAATAGCTTTAAGAAGAAGATATGCTATCACTAGGCTTCTTGGACCAGAAAGAAGTCCAGGTATCATTTGCATAGAATGGAATGCACTGAGATGGAATTGCACCAGCGATGGAATGGGCTTTATACTTTTGTGGTGGCAACAATTTTTTTATTTAAAATAAGACTGCCTTGTTGTTTGGTAAACAACTGTTCATTTTTAACTACCTGGCAGTTATTATATTGCGGGTCTCCTTGCCTGATAGGGTAGGATCACCATTTGAAGAACTCTCTGCCCCCAGTTTCCACTGCCAGGGAACTCTGGGATTTCCATTCATCACCTACCTGATGGCTATTGGAAAGGTTGAGTTCTGTTCTAGGAGCAACAAAATGGGCAAGCTGCTACCCTGAGTAAACGTTATGTGGGCATGATTAAGAATGAAGGTAATATTAACTTGATTGGTATTTTCAGAGTGTGATTATTTTATTTCTTTACATTTCCCCACAGACCTGATATCCATTGCTGGTAGTGGATGAGCAGGAATATTAACAGTGGAAGTATTCCCAGGTCTACCCTACTGTATTTATTCTCCTGACACACTTAACAGGATTAAACTTTGTAATTTATATACAACTTCTTATAATTCTTCCTTTTTTTATTTTTAATCGCTTCTGATCCAAACTATGTTTCAGGGAAAGGAGGGACCATGCAGAGCAGAAATCTCTGTTATTAGCCCTGCAACGATGGCTATCTATACTAAAAAAAAGAAGAAGAAGAAGGTAGTGGTGGTGTTCATCATATTTCTTTTACACCTGGCAGGAAATGGGCTACATTTGCACTTTCTGGTAACCATCATCTGTGAAGCCTTGGAAAAGACTAAAGGAGTTCAGTCTTGCCATTACTTGAAGATATGTATTCTTGGTTCACTTGAACTCCATGAAATCGTGCTACAGGGGTTAGTAAGTTGAGGAGGAGGATGTTATCCATTCAGTCGTGTCTGACTCTTGCATTACAAATGCACTAAATGAAGGTTAAAGATAGTTAAATTACTGAAAGAGTTGGATTTTTATGCTGGTAATACCATTTCCTTGCCTTTGACAATACTGTAATACAATTCCATGTTCTTTAGGGATTGGAGACTATACTCTGATTCTAAATGACCTCCTGTTACATAGTGGGTCAATAATTATGACATTCTGCAAACGTGTTGCATTTTCCTCTGTTACGTCAGCACCTTCCAAAACTTACTTGATGTCATTTTCTTTGGTACATTGTGCACAAATGTATCCATGCACAAACACAGAAAATCTGTATGCCAGAAACTAGGCTGAGCTATACGTATTAATATTGTTGATGCAGGAATCTTCTTGAACCTGGTGTGTTTGAAATGCGTTGGACAGATTCCCAGGCAGCATGCCTGGAGGTACCAGGTCAGGGAATATTCAACATCCATCAGATAATTCATTGACTGGGTAACTTTCCTTTAACTCAATGCCAAATTCTCTCCAGGTTATCCTATTAGCTGGACTATGCAAATCTCATTTCTGGTCTGGAAGAAATCAACTTACTGGCAGCCAGAGATTTTTCACTTTTATTTTATTTATGTTTCTTTTTTCCCCCTGAATTCAAATGGATGTGGTGGGTGGTAGGAAAAGAACCAAACTACTGATATTTTATTACTGGATTATTGATGGCAGTTATAATATTGATAATAGTCGCCAAAAGGCAGTGGAGGATGCACTGGCATCTGAAATGCATAATAATGAAATAACTCACTTAAATTTTTGCTTGTACGTGTATCCTCCTCCATAAATTAAAATTGCCTGTTTGAATTCACCAGCAATAAAAAAAACTTGTGGTTTGTTCGTTTTGCCCTCTGTCACTTATAAAATGGCCTGTGTTTTAAACTGTGAAACATTGAGATGGACAGATAATGTCTGTAGGTGATGAACTTTCTTATGCATACCCCAAATTCAAAAGCAATTCATCTTTTAAAAAGATAGAGAACTCAACAGTCTTGGATATTTAGTATCCATATTTTGGTAGACAGCTGTCCTGTCCCATCCGGTTAGATCAGTCTTCTCAAATGAGCTTCATTCAGATGTCCTGGATTTAACTCCTATAAATTTCTGGTCAGCACGGAAGACTCTAAAATCCTGGAATAAACACAAAAGCTCCATCATCCTGTTTCAGTTTGACATTGGGCACCATATATAAAAATGGGACATTCTGGCTAAAATGAGTTGGGCCTGGACCCAAGCTCATGAGGACTTCTAGCAGTGTGGAAAATGCTTCTCCCATGTCATAACCCAAGAGTCTTTCCTAATCTAAGGCTCACATGAGTCTCCAACAGATGTTCCAGATGCTGTATTAGAAAAAAAGTGAATCTGGTTGGTAGATTAGATTTATATTTAATTAAAATTAAGTTAAAATATTTGAACACAGTGACTACAGCAGCTTGATTTTTATAACTTTCCCATTGACCACATTAAAGAGTACAATTTTTGATCCACCCAAGATTTCGGGGCTTCCTATAGCTCTGAATTGGAGATATTCTATTTTGGAGACATTTTGTTGTTCCAGCATGACTTAACTTTTAGTTTAGTTAACTTTTACTGTAAATAGGGGAAGTTTTTTCTGAATATATCAGCATGAAGATGATTCAGAAGTTTTCTATTCAGAATGCTTCCTAATATGCAGAGAGGTCAACAGAAGTCAACAGAAAATATATTAATGCAAATCAAATGAAACAAGCATTTTGCTCTCTGGTTTGTCGAAATGTGCAAAATGAAGCATCTTACATTTCCCTAGAATAAAATATTTTAAAATTTGCTTGCATCCTGCTGACCTGTTTGGAACATTGCAGAATAATCAAACTTCCTCCATACTTAAAAAAAAAAAAAAAAAAGAATGCCTGCCAAGCATAATGATGTTGAACAATGCATTTAATCGAAAAGACAGTTGGTACTTATTTGCTTTATCCATTTGCATGGAGCTGCTCATGTCCAAAACATCTCAAAATGGCATATGAACATTTTTGATAAAGCATAATTAACACAGAATTATATAGCATAATTACATTTTAATATTTTAGAAAATTAATAAAATATTTTTAAAAAATCCATTCACAAAACTCAAGGTCTGGATGTTGGAATAAGGATTCAAAAGGTTTCTGAAATGCACCAAAGGCTGGTGTCTTTGAACATTAAAAAATATGACCACATTCGGAGGAAGAAAAGAGCATTTCTATAGTCTTTCTCAAAAGCAACACCGAGAGACATAGCACAATTTCAAGAAGCCTATTCCCCCAGACAGATGAGGTTAGAGAACACTCTCAAGCTATAAATACATGGATTAACGGACACTTTTATCATACATTAGCTGTCAAGGTTGCATTCATATTTTGTGCTAGCGTGGGTCCCTCAGAATGGGTGAGATTGATCTGCATCAGTCCCTGTGGTTGTCTCAGACTTTGTACATTTTAAATATAAGTATACAAGTTAAAATTCAGTTAAAATATTAATTACTGCTGGACATGGCTACCTCATCAATGTGTTGTGGCCCTCCGGTGGCTAGCAGACCTGGCAGCAGAGTCAGACAGTGAGGAGGTTGGGGAGGAACATGGGCCAGTCCTGGAGGCTGAGGAAGGTTCAGACGAGAGCTCTACGTCAGAGGCAGAGATGGGGCCAGGGCAGTCTGGCAGTTGTCAGCTGCCTTCGGAGTCAGACGGGGAGCAGCTGGAGCCGGTTCCCAGCCTGTGCATGCGCAGAGCTGCCAAAGAAAAGAACAATTATGAACTAAGGGTCAATGTGAGAGTAAAGCCACAGGTGGATGGTGAATTACCCTCCCATAGGGATTAAAAGAGGAGTAAAAGGGGAGGGGGCTTTTGCAGGAAATAAGGTGTTCATTGCAGCAGTGTGAAGATCTGTCTGTGCATCTCAGAGACTCTGGCCGAGTCCTTCCTTGTCAGCACTGTGTTTGAAAATATTTACTTGGCAGCTCTCCAAGCTAGATAAAGTCTGTGCTCCTAATTACACCCTTGAAAGACTGTTTGCC